AGTCATATCTTGATGATCTGACCTAACTTGTAAACCCGTTTAGATTGCTAAAAAGTTGATCAAATTTACTTTATTTTTGACTTCTGAAAGTATTTGACAAATGTATAAAAAAAAACAAGTTTAAATAATTCAAAAATAACTTAAAATAAGTTAGGAAGTATTTGGGAAGGTCAAAAATGACTTGTAATTAGTTAAAAATGACTTAAAATAAGTCAGAATTCAAAAGTAGATCTCTCCCTACTTTATATTTCTTTGACTTAAAAATCATTTGAATTTGACTTTTTATTTTTAACTTAAAAATTACTTTTTCTTTAAACTAATCCAAACGAGTTCTAATACAAAAATATGATCTTATAAAATATATCATGCTATAAGAGTATAATTAAGTTTATATTCCAAAAGGAAAATAGTAAGTTTATAAGGAGAAGCAAAAACTAAATACCATCACAAAAATTAAAGATCGAATGACTACTTATAAATAAATGCTGGGTATTTTGTGTGGACATTGGATCTAGTGAAGCTCCCAACCAACCAATCCCCAAAAGTTAAAGTCTCCATTTTGCTTGGTGACATTTAGTCAGAGGCATCAAGAATCGAATCTCACTAATTCCCTGGCCAACTTGAAGTTCAAAAATTTGTTAGGAATGGACAATTCTATTTTATCTCCATTTTAATTAATTTGATTGTCCAGAGGTATTAAAAATTTAAACATAAATTATTAGTTTCGCACGTGGACTATTGACATCTTAAAAATTATTATTCTATTTGACTAACTAAACGTAGAATAACATAACAAATGATTTCAAATTATTGTAGGAGCATGAAGCTGTTAATAAAAAACCGAAACAAGTGTTAGAAACATCTCTTAACTTAATGAGAATTTAAGGATAAATTTCACTAATATTGTAAAATTGGAGATATTTTTTAATTCAATTAGTCAAGTAAATGATGATTTTAAGGCTGTCAATAGTCAAAGAACAAAACTAGTAACGGATGAGAAATCTCATTATCCTTAGTTAAGAAAGTTTAGGTCCCAGACAAGGGATTATGAGAGAAACTCCGGTTAATAAGTGTTTCTATTTAGAAAGAATAATATATTTTTTATGTTTAGTACTAATTAACTCCGATCCTACTTGTTTATGATTTCTCGATCGAGAGATTATAATTTAATTTTGAAATTATTTTTTTATTTTTAATAATGATATATAATATTTATAATTTGTTTATATTACAAATTCAAAAAATCTTCAAGACTTGAAATTCGCCGTACTAGGTAGTACCTTCTCCCGACTAACTAGGGACTAGGAAAATGTTGCATCCCTTCTGTATCCCAATAGCCTTTTCCTCACCTAAAAAGTTAAAAAGTAAACCTTCATTTTTTTTAAAAAAAATATCTAATAGAATTTGACATAAAACTTAAATAATTTTAAATTAAAGTTATATATATCAAGTATATTTAAAAATATTTTTAATTTTGTAATCTTAAATATTTCATGTTAAAATTAAAGTATCAACGAAAAAGAATTCAGTCAATTTTAAACCGACTAAAAAGAATAATAAATCATTGTACTTTGTGTACAAAGAGAGTATAAATTTATTAAGGAGTCATTTGATATAGAATAAGTTATTTCAAAGTTAAATATCATTGGATAAGTTATCTCGAAATAAGTTAGTTTATCATGTATATTAACTTATACCGTCACTATGTAAAAGTGGTGGGATAACTAATCCAATAGCTACAACCTACAATGATACAGTAATTCTATATTTTATCATAAAATTATTATACCTTATATTTCACGCCAGACAGATTCTTAATTTAATCAGATTGGAATAATTCATCCCACGGAACATATGAACACCACTCTTTCGTTGAGGTAATTTTTTATGTGATGAAATCAAATACATCAGACTGTGCATTAACGTGGAGAGAAAACTAGACCGCAACTTTGATATTAAAAAAAAAACATTAAATTAAATGAATCTACTTTTGTTTCATAGCCAAGTGTGTGTCTATGGCATATTTAAGTTCATTACTTTTCAATATAAAATTTAAGAAAAAGTCAGTTGTTTCACTTTTTCAGTTAGACCAGTATACAACCCTGGATGCCACTTTGTGCCAATTTAGTGCCTCCATTGCACTCTTGCACCCTATCCCTCCCATTATTTTATATGTCTTTTTGATTTGACGGAATATATTAACAATCTTTTAAATTTGTTCTTTCCTTCAACTTAATATTACGTGAGATTGTTTCATTTGATATGGTATTTATTAGAAATAGAATTTTTAAAAAATATGGGGTAAAATATATCTTGGTTTTAAATTATTTATCGAGAATAGAAAGGCGTAATCAATAAATATATAACTTTGCTTCATCTGACATTTATGGAATAAAATTAAATTTTCATTCTACATGTATTATGTCATGTATAACACGTGTGTATACTTGTTTAATTTTATACTCCCTCGGTCCCTATTTAGTTGTCCACTTTATAAAAGACACACATATTAAGATAACAATAATTAATATGGTGAAGTTACAATCTTACCCTTATTAAATATAGTTTAAAAAATGATGAATTAAAACTATGAAACTTTCAAGAAGTTTAAATGAGGGTATAAAAGGAAAAAAAATTGTCATTTCTTTATTTGTCAAAATGGACGAGTAAATAGGGATATCTAGGAAAAAGATATCACGTAAATTAGGATGGAAAGAATATTATTAATTGACCTCATTAAAACACTCGACTTACTATGGTTTTCTTCTTTTTTTTTTCAATCATCTACAAATATACACGATGAAAAATTTATTTCTGGTTTAATTTTGGAAAAATATTTCAGGCATATTCATAAATATTTATTATTAAGTTAAGTTAATCATTTAAAATATATCAATATCTCTTCAATAAGTTGTATAAGCTGAGGCATTTTCTAATTGATATTGGATGTCTATAATTAGAATAAGTGACACGTTTATTTTGTTAACTTATCTACTCATATTGACGCTTGAAAACATACTAATTATTTTTTCAAAATCATATATATATATATAATTAAAACAAACCATTATTGTTATGTCCAAGTAAAATTTGTTTTCAAAATTAACAAGTTGTCGGTGTATTCTGATTATATAAAAAATGTATTTCCTATACCTATATATAATTTGAATAAAACAAAATGCCCTTATATAATAATGTGACTAAAATAGTTGTAAAAAATTTACAATAAATTAATGAATGAAATCAGCGGCTCATATGTTTTCCACCGTCGTAAGTCTAACACTAAATTGCAACATATATATACTTGATAAGAAAAAAAATAATTATTGGGCAGTGATTCCCATAATATATAGTTGGTTACTTTTTGGTCATCATAGCAATATGTATGAAATTAATGAGTATAGGTCTGGGGTAGAATCTACCTATGAAGAATCTTTGAATTTGAACAAAAAATGGGGAAGAATCTTTGCATCCTTATGTGCTAACGTTAGCATGGTGCTTCTCCATTATGTTTGGTCTTCTCTACTTGTAGTAATTTATACTCTGACTGATACTATAGTGTTAGCACGATTAATTGTACTAACATAAATAAAGAAGATTTGGTATTTTAAAAAGTGAAGATTGCTCTAATATATTTTTTTTTTTCAAAAGAAATGGATATTCCAATGATTAAGGGACAAGTATTGTGAAGAATGAGCCTTATTGGAGAGAGAAAGAGAAAGTTTGCGTAGTTAAATTAATTCTTGAACCTAAGTCATATTCTAAGAAAACTATGCCTCAAATGGAGTTCAAGGTTGAGACATAGTTGCGCAGCGACATCTAAGGATAAGGGTTCAATCGGACCAATTTAGTTGGAAAATTATATTATTCATATACGTTTATAATTATTTTTGAACTTTTTTGGCTAGGTCAGGCCTAGTTTATATGTTTTACTTCATAATATTTTAAACCCTTTAAATGAAAATCCTAATATCTTCACTGCTCGGATCTAAACATTCTTTATTCACTCTTCCACTTTCCGATCCGATGTGTACACATTTTTATATTAAGGGTATTTCTACCTCCACATTTGTCCAATTTCTGAGAGCCTATATATTTCGGGTCTAAATTTTATATATGTTAAATTATGTCTTGAGTTTAACTCACATCACAAAAACAAATTTAAATGAAAAAATGGTTAAGGAATAAAAATTTCATTTAGGCTCAAATATTGAGAGATACAAAAAACTTGGAGAAGTTCAACGGGCAAAGGGAAAGGAATTTCAGAGAGAACTCCATAGCGACGTATTTTATCATATTTATGTATATAATTTATTTTATTTTTTGAAAAATACAAATCAAGCATAAAAGGAAAAGTCTGATTTCCTTTCATAATTTATACACGTATAATATATCAGTTATACAGATTTTTAAATCGTTAATGAAATATTGTATTAATTTTATACATGAATAAACTTACTTTTAACAAGCTACCAAACATGGTTCGGATTAAAACTAGGTGTAATTTGCTTTAAATATATTGTATCTAAGTAGATTTATATGCATCTCAGATTCGCATGTATATGGAATATATGTGGATCACACTAGATATATACACATACTTTTATCTAGTATATATGTAACACGTGATTCATATGTATCCGAGATATATAGACAAACCTACTCGCCTCTCTCCCTATATATACACACAAACAATATGTATCTAAATGTATAAAATATGTATCTAACTTGAGATATAGTATATATAAAATTATTAATTAGTTATGTAAAATGTAATTATTTCAAACTACATATAATTAGTAAATATAATAGAAATATATGCATATGGTAATTCGAGTATATCAAATTCTTATCCGGCCGATATTGGTGAACAAAATTGACGCTTCTTTATTTTTGTTGTACAAAGTAAGGGTAAGTACCGCTAGTTTTTAAATATTAGCCATTTCAATATTGTAACATTATGATAAAAGGAAATTTAATAAAACATGAGATTAACCGAGTTAAACAAAAAATCCCAAGATTAAGGGAGCTTTGAAATTTAATTGAGAAATGAAATTACATGAGTTGAAACTTAATTACAACACACTTAACAAACTTGATTCCCATCAAAACACAGTGGGGAATTTTGTTAAAAATAATCGATACACATGCATCTTTTTAGGTTTACAAAAGTCTTAAGCCTCCTCAGTTTGCTGCTTCACTTCTTTAGATGCATTTTGATTCAGAGTTGAAGCCATTTGAATTTTTCCAGAACAAACCAATTTACCAAGCTTCACTATATCGATTATTTGTTCTTCGGTTAATTCTGGAATCTTCTTGTTATCGTCCAATATTATAACTGGATTTTGCACCTCAACATTAACGTTAACGATGGGCTTATGTTTTTTGCGATACATCGCATAGAGAATCATTTGGAGTATACCAAAAATGAATCCCAATATATTTGGAGCCTACATTACAAGATAATATTAATTATTTCCAACCACACATTAATTAGATAAATAAGTAAACAAGTACTAAAATAACATAATTAATTAACTTACAGCAATGTTAACATCTTTTAGTAGAAGACCGTAGAAAAACCACATCACAGCACTTATTGTTAGAAAAACTGATAGAAGAATTGGCATGTATTCCACACTCTTTGTTTTAATAACTTGTCTCTGCATAAATAAAACGCGCATAATGTTTAATAAGCATTAATTTTTAAAATAAGACAGATAACCTGTTATAACATGATAAAATCGAGAAGTAAGTTTTGAAGCTTACCACAATGCCTAAGGGTGCAACAAATACACATAAGGAGAAAATAAGGCAAATCCATCCAACAATTTGTCCACGAACAACTCCTTTGAATAAAAATTGAGTAACTAGGATTATTGCACCAAATCCACCAACAACGGTTAAAAGTAGCATTTTCACAGTATTAACCTGAATTTATAAATAAAATTATATTATACTTCTCTTCCTTTTTATTATTATAAAATGGAAATAATGATAATAATAATTAAAAAAAAACCTTACCCTGGCTTTCTTTGGTGCATAGTAAAGGAAGAGGCTAACGTAGATAGTTTCAATGAGCATTCCAAATGAGTTAATTGTTATGAGAAGTGTTGTGTTTGTCTTCAAAAATGCATAGTAAATCCAAAGCATGCAGCTAAAGAGAGCAATCACGTATGGAATTGATTGATATCCTTCAGTTGATTTCTTCTTGTAAATTTTATTAAATGTTGGTCTGCAAATATTATAATAATTAACTACTATGTAACGTTCAATTTTATTCACTTATTATAACGTGAAATTATTAATGATTATAGAAATGAACAGGGGCAACATGCTAGATCGATGACTTACATTGGAGAAAGGAAAACAATAAACGAGATAATATTTCCTGCAAGATTAATTGAAAATTCAGGGTCAATATAGAAATTAATTGATTCTTGGTAATTAAATTAAAACAAATGAATAATTGGAAGAGATTATAAAATAACAATAAAGATCCATTAGGAATGATTAAATTATGTATGTTAATGATTGAGGTACGATGAAATGATTGAAACTTCCACTTAATTAGAGAATTTAGGGATTTGTCTTTAAGTGTGAGTCATAATATAATTTGTTATTGCCCTACTTTTGACTAATATAGATTTTCCAACTACTAATGTAAAAGGAAAAACAATAACAATTAATTAAATGATTTATGTGAAACTGTTTGATTTGATAAAAAAAAATATATTCTAATTTCTGTCACTATAATTCATATTTTAAAAAATAATAGGAAAATTTATCAAAATATGACTTTCTTTTGAAACGGATTAAAATAAAAAATATTGTATTTAAAATGTGACATTTGTCATCTTTCAAATAAAATAAACTATATGCTATAATAGGTAAATAAAAAATAGTTGTATAACAATTGCATAGACTAACATGTGTGTAACTCAAGTATTTTGTCAATTCAATTCTAAAAGAAAAAAGAAAAAAAAGATTTTACCAAGGACACCAAAAACAAATGCCCAATGACCAGCAATAGCCATCTCCTTTTTTTTTCTCAAAATGGAAATTTCTATCTTTGTTAATCTCTCACTTACAAATAATTGCAAGTACTTGATTGATAATGAAATGAGGGGTGCTCACTTCACGTATTTATATAGCAAGGCTACAAGTATATAATATTATTGGATATATATGTTCTATAGTTTTCCAATTTTAATTTTTATGTCAATTAGTGCTTTATGCGTTATAATTCAATTTGTATACAAAACAAAACACCTTTTCATCCTTTAACCTTTTTGGGCTTGATATATCCTCAAAATAAAAGGTCCCATTTTTCTCTTTTATTATGTCATCGTCCTATCTATGAGGCACTAAAGCTTCCAACCATGGCACTAAAATTTTGAAATTTTTTTTAATTTGATCCTCATTTATTTTATATACAAATAATGTGACCCTAGTCAGCAAAAAAAAAAACAATCAACAAATGATGGGAGGCACCTATCAATGTTTGCCAATTGGCACCAATAATAGATGTTTTTTGGCTCCATGAAAAATGAAAGACTCGAAAATCGGTTGTAGGGGAAGAGCTGGGTGGAGGTTTATGGGTTTGGACGAACCCATTAGCTTTTTTTGTTGACACTATATTTATTAGAAAATTAAATGAATACACCCCATAACAAAATTCATTGACAATTTGGTGGTAAGGAAAAGTCGGTGGAAATGTTTTCCACACTAGTGTTGTGGGTTCAAACCGTCCTAAAATTTAGAACCCTCAAACTTCTAATTTTGGTTCCGCCTCTAAATTCGATAGTTAATAAGATAGGTGATCTACAAGGTTTTGACAATCGACCTCTTCCCTTTGAGCTAGTATTTGGAGTGTAAGTTAGGTTCAACACCTAATTTTACATAATATCAAAATAGAACTCATTTCACTGGATGTTGGACCCTCAAACTAAAAAGTATATTGCCCATGCTTCAGATGTCCAGCCGCCCAGGCATAATATGGGGATGTTGAAGAATGAAAAAATTCTACGTAATTAGTTAATACGATGAATAGACTTCTTATATAAAATCTAGACAATACAATTTTTGTATCTAACTTTTAAGGTATACGCATTAGATTCGAGATCTTTTACAGTAATGAAAATTATCATTTTTGGTAGAGTGGCTGATGAATTTTGCTTTAGTAGGCTTATCACGTTTTGGTGGATTATGTCATATTTTTATATATATCTGTATGTACAATGAAATTGATCACAAATTTAAAATGTTAATGACATGTTAAGCATAAGTGGCTGATGTTAATATGCTTTTAAATTTACGGATTAGGCTTCACAAAAAAGCGTGAAGACCAGTCTAATCCATTTATCATGGGATTAGTCTTCTATATAATTATTCGACATATTCAGGTATACATTTCCATATTTTGCACCTTATCAACTTCATTTTAATCAACATTTTTGCTTTAAAAATCAAAATCATTGCTATCACCGATCATATATGGAAATCAGAAATTGTTATATATCAACTCCCTCCGTTCTTGTTCCTCTTAAAATAATGTAACAACATTTCCTTATTAGTCCATCTAAAATAAGTATATATTTCAATTTTTGAGAGTAATTTAATTTTAAACTTTTCATTTTTATTTGAGATGACGAGTTTAATATCACAGCACATGCTTAACAAATCTTATAGTAGCATGTTTAAGACTACAATAGTTTCAGAAATATATTTATTTTTTTGTTAAATCTCAAATAGTACATCATATAAATTAAAATGGATGAAGTATTAAATTCAAGTTAAATTTAAGGAGCGAAAGATATAATTATTATAGAAATATTTAGTAGCAATATATATTTCTTTTAGCAACAATATTTATTTTTGATAAACTATTTCGCAACAATTAAGTTAATATTATTGCATTTAAAGTCGTTAAAACCTTTAGCGATATATATATATAAAGTGTTGGAATACTCATATTTTCCCACTATCCTTAAATATGATATAGCTTGAATATAAATCCTTTATTTGTTATATATAGTGGCTTGGAATACTTAATATTGTGTCCAAATATGCATAATAGAAATATTTTCTAGTAATGCCTAAAATCGTATATAATATTATCGTCTTTTGAACTTTTTTCCCCTTTAAATTGGATAAGATTTAATCCTTTTTCCCTTTAAAATAAAAAAGGGAAAATGGTGGGAGACAATTAAACGACGAACCTTTAGGATTTATGTGGCTACAGTTTTAATTTCAGCAGCCAATACATGCCTTCGAATTCAATTATGTACATTCTCAATTATTGAACAATACACTATAAATTATTTTTTGGTTATAAAATTAGAGTAAACAAGAAACAATATTAAAAGATCATGAGAAGTTTCGAATTTGAATAACTCTAAATAATGAGTTATTTTGTTAAGCAACACTTTAGGAACTTTTTAATTTAAATTTAAATTTAATTGAGCTATAATGCAGTATCAAATATCAAATGGAGAAAAAAAAAGCAATAGAAATAAAAGAAAATGTAGTTATGCCACTACCGTCGACCACAATATAGCTTTAATTATTCGTGGTGTAATAATGTTATTCTATACGTTTGAAACAAAAAATATATATTATTATATGCGCACCTATCGCTTACTTGATTTTTATTCTTTGTAAAAAGGTTACATAAATTATTTAGACTTCATTCAATAATAAAATAGTTGATCATTTCATGTACTTTTGCAGGGACATATGGGAAAGAAGTATTAATCCCAAATAGCTTTATATTATTGTTCAGAATGTAAATAGTTATTATACCACCAAGAGTAATTGTGATGGGTTGATTTGATTCTTAAGTAAGAGGTTACGGATTTTTGAGAGCAGAAATTGTTTTGATAACTTTTTTTTATTATAAATTTTAAATTAATTGAACTTTTGAAACACGCATCTGTCAAAGCAGAATGCATTACATTGATTCTAAACTAGTTTTGTATAGTATATCTAATTTCAGGCCTAATTTTCATTACTTTAATTGGCTGCAAAATTTTGACAATTTTGTTTTGTTTCTCTTTGAGGATGTTTATACGAGAAACAGATCGAAGGAGTAGATTTTATTTACCTTTGTCAAGGTGGATTTGTCTTTGTGTTTATCACCTAATAATAAAACAATATATATTTAATGTGATTTGCATGCATCTGAGATGCTAGATGCACAGGAGAGTGGTGAGCAAGCTGGGAGGGAAACGAACAAAATTTGTTATGTATCACAGATATATGTGAATCTACTTTAATACAGTATATACATTGATTTGACTTCACACACGTATCCTGAGATACATGCATATAGACATATTTGGATGCACTAAAATCTTATAAAATAATGCAAATTAGTGTGTGTCTAAATAATTAGCTCCTAAACTAGTGAGATTTATGTAAGATAACCTAAGAAATACGTAGTGAGCACATTATTAGGTACATTTTCATGGTAAAAATCTACTTTACTACTTGCAATTAAAATTTTAGAACACATGAGAATTCGGAAATAGGATAACAAATATAGAAAGAAGTAATTCTTTTTATATATATATATATATATATATATATATATGTACGTATGC